AGTGGAACTTGTCTTAAAGATCATCGACTTTCCTTTTGTGTATGCTGCATGTTAAGTCTGCGTTCTGAAGGCGATGGATACAACTATAAAACTGAACTTCGATCTTTTTCTCCCCTCTTGGATTAAAAAGAAAAACTGCATCAGATTCCTGATCGACATTAAAAAGTTTTCGAGTTGAAACCCCATCCCTTCTATCCGAAAAGCGTTGATTTTGCATCTCCCAGTGCTCTGGATTTTATCCTCAATAAATTGTTCTCACCTCACTTCATTCAAGGAAAAATATAATTCCTCTTAACAAAGAAACTAGAACAACTTTCATCTGATGTTGCGATTTTCAAAATGTGTTTTGGAATCGAAGAAACAAAATTTTTCTTACTATCAAATTTCATCTGATGTTGTGGTTTTCAAGATGTGTTCTTGGACTAATTCGAACTTTCACGTATCCTTCTTGTGGAAATTTTTTTTGTATTTCTCCTAAGACAATTTCTTGAATTTTTATTGAAATTAGATATTAGTAGTGATAAATTTATGATTACGTATGTCAAATGACCTAAATATTTTATTATGAGTAATTGGAAAGAGAAATATATTTAAGAGTTAGGTTGCATTTCTAGTATTTATATTGCTTTATTATTTTCTTTTTAAAATTATAACATAATATTGTATTTATAGTGCATTTAAAAAAAATTTTGTTGAAGAAAATAGAAAACCCAAAATATGACATTATGTGCTTTAAGTGTAATGCACCAGGACATAAAGCTCCTGGTTGTCCTAAAAATAAAAATGTAAACCCGAATGTGACAAAATCCAAAATATATCATACAACACAGGAGATCCCAATAAATCAATGCAAATATTGTTCGAAGAGAGGACTTTTGAATCAATTTCACATGGGCTCCTCGTCTGTAAGCAACCCTAATAATGTGGTTGATGTAAACGTCCAACATATGACAAATATACAAGCAATTAATAATACCCGGATATCAAGTTGTAAATAAAAACCTAAATGGATATAAAGTGGAAAATAAATACCAAAAGAGACGTCAAAACAAAAGGAAAATGTAAACAAAGATATATTATTGAATGTTGATACCGGGTCAACATTGAATATAATACCAAAAGATTTGGTGTTAAAATTAAATATTCCTATTAAAAAATGTGAAGAATTAAATGTTACCCAAACGAAAGGACAATTATCACTTAACAAAATTTGTGAGTTTCCCCTTTTAAGAAAGGCAAAATTGTTAACTCAGCTAAGTTTTTTATACTTGATACTGATTTACCATATGCTTTAGTAGGGTTGCAAACTTGCAAAGATTTTTGTTTGTTTATTGATTACGTCGGGCCAGTTGTTACTCTATTTGTTAAGAGACTGATCATCTCTGCTAATTCTAAAAGTGACAACTTATCTTTGCACATTAGACAGCAGAATTCTCAAAATGTTAAGGTTAAAAATGATGAAAAAGATGTTTCAGTGAAAATAAACACCGAAAAAATAAAAGTTAAAGATGTTTCAGTAAAAGTAAACATTGAAAAAATAAAAAGAAAGAATGTCCAAAAAGTTCAAATGATTCGAAGATAGATCTAGGTAATGGATCTGTACATTATCAGGTTAATATCGACGAAAAAATAAAAAAAAGGTTAACAAAAATAAAAAGAAAAGGAAAAATAGGAAAAAGAAAGAATGATCACGAAACTGATTACAAATTAAATAAAAAGTATAATTTAAGTAAACAAAATTTTGAAATAGTTCATGCATCAAAGCTTAGGAAATATCACAGCCCACAAATGTTACAATTGAATCATGAATAGTGTCAAAAACAAAATTTTTTTTTTACTTTCTTCAACGGAAGAAGTAGACCTTTTTTTTTGGGGGGGGGGATCGGAATCGCGTGTGGAGATGTTTACCTCAACATCATTCGGATATGAGGGCGATGGAAGTTGAACTTTTTGTTTTTCAACAAGATGAGAAAATTTTCATAAACGATTTTTGTATATGTCAAATCTGGATCTCTCAATTTCCCTCTGCTTCATGAAATTCTGTTTTCCTCCATTTTAACGGGGAATACAGATTTTCATCAAGTAAATAACCACTTTAACCACACAGAATCTTAAATTCTGATTAAATGGCACTTGTTGTCCAATTCATTTGCATAAAAATTTTGTATATTTTTGTGTGAAAAATTTTTTGAAAATTTTAGTAGATTAGTTATATAAACATGTTTCTTTTTTCTTTCTGTTTAATTGACTAAACAGATAAATTGCATTATCATGTTTTTTATATTTTTGTTATTGTAAATAACTGTTTTTTTTAACACTTAATTGAAAAAATGTTATTTTTGGTAGGGAAAAGGAACAGTTGTACCAACCTAAAATTTTAGAAATTTAAAGTATTCTAAATTTGTTTTATTTTGGCTTACCAAGGGGGTGTAATACAAAAATTATAAATACTTTTGTATTAATAACAACATATATA